TTTTTTTAAATTATAAAAATTGGCCATTTATGGTCCCAATTATTTTTTTAAAATTAGCCAGGGGGCCCATGCCTGTGGTCCCAGCTACTTGGGAGGCTGAGGCACGAGGATTGCTTGAGCTGGGATTTGAGGCTGCAGTGAGCCTGTGATCATGCCACTGATTTCCAGCCTGGGCAACAGAGTGAGACTCTCCAAAAAAAAAAAAAAAAAAGCAGAGAATGGATTGGGAAGTGGGATGATGCTGGACATGGAGGAAGAAGGACAGAGAAAGCCAGTGTTGGTTTTCTATGAGAGGGCAAGGTCATCAGCCCTCCAACAGAATGAGGATAAAAAGTCTGCAGCTGGTTATGAGTGAGTTTGTGAGGTCAGCATATGGACTTTGGTATGTATAGGCACAGAGTTCTGGACCTTGCTAATATACCTCCACAGCCCTTCTGAAACTGTTAGAAAGTTAGGAATATGAGAGAAAAACAGGAAGGGGAGAGTCAGTATGAACAGGAAGTACATTGGTAGATCTTTTTTATTTATTTCTTGAGACAGAATATCGCTTTGTTGACCAGGCTGGAGAGCAGTGGTGGGATTTCAGCTCACTGAAACCTTTGCCTTCCGGGCTCAGATGATCCTCCAGTCTTAACCCCCTGAGTTGCTGGGACTGCAGGCATGCATCACTACGCCTGGCTAATTGTTGTATTTCTTATAGAGATAGGGTTTCTCCATGTTGCCCAGGCGGGTCTCAAATTCCCAAGCCCAAGCGATCCCCTTGCCTCAGCCTCCCAAAGTGCTGGAGTTACAGGTGTGAGCCACTGTGCCCAGCCTCTTTTTTAGAGTATGTATGCAAGTTCCTTGGGTGACTTACTCCTTTGGGGTATCAAATTTTCCTTACTACTGTTTGTATTCATTTTTCATTTAAACAAAGGAATTCAGGCATTTACTATCACTAATCACAGTGCCTTAAAACTAACTACATTGATGCTTTCCTTTTTTTAAGATGATGGGATAGCATTGGAATTATCTCTGTTAGTAGTTTTTGTTGTTTTAGAGACAGGGTCTCTGTCACCCAGGGTGGAACACATTGGCACATTTATAGCTCATTGCAACCTCGAACTCCTGAGTTCAAGCAATCCTCCCATCTCAGCCTCCTGAGCAGCTGAGACTGTAGTCACACCTCATCACACTGTGCATTAAAAAAAAATTGTTTTTTATTTTTTGTTTTTGTTTTTTTGGTAGAGATCATGTTACTCAGGCCTGTCTTGAACTTCTGACCTCAACGATCCTCTCATCTCAGCCTCCCTAAACACTGGTGTTACAGGTGTGAGCCACCTTTACACAGCCTATTACTTTTATAGCTCCAGGTTTACATTTTCTGTTGTTGATATATACTACTTGGTTTTCTTAATTGGTTTACTTGGAATTCCTAAAAAAGATAAATCTGGACAACCACCTTCTGGTACTCAGGTGCTTCATGTATACCAAGAATATTTAGCATGACTGGAACACTGCAGGAGGTATTTGGCCATGAATTTCTTTTAATTCCATAAAATAGAACCATAGCAGTAGGGAAAGGGGCATAATACAGAACAGGAAATCTTCTGGGGAGGGCTGAGAACAGACCTGAGATGGAATCCTTCCTGTATCTGTTTTTCCTGTCTGGAGATAGGGCAGCCTGAGGCCTGATGTGCTGATGTTTAAAGTAGCCTTTAGCTCTTGGTGGCTCCTATTTACGAGGAATATGGGACAAGTGGCAACATTGTTTATACACTCAGATCTTCAGAAGCCTGGTTTTATTTCCAGAAGGATTAATTAAACAACATGTAACATAGTTTATTATAGATAGCATCTCTTGAGAAAGCTTTTCATTAGTTTAAACTGCCAGTTTTAATGTTTTTGTTCAATTTAGCCCCCATTCAGCCTTGTTTTATCATTTAGAGAAGGCCACTGGCACTGAGGAGTAGAGCAGGAGCACATCACAGGCAGAAAAAAATATTAATACTGATGTAGACAAAATTGCTCTTGTTAGTCCTAAGAATGATGGGGGAGGTGAGAAGCCAGTTGTAACAGTATGGAGGTCCTTATGAGAGGGCAGGGGTGAAGGGACAGATTTATTGTGGTTGGCTACCCACTTTCAAGGCCAACCTCACAGGACAACTGGCATCTTTTACTGACCGTATGGAAGACCCTCTGGGCAGTGTAATGTTAAGAACATGGCCTGTGCTCAGCCCTGCTGCTTAGGAGCTTTGTGAACTCTGCTTCTGTTTCCTCATCTGTGAAACGATCATGTTAGTGTTGTGAGGATTAAATGAGTGAGTGTGTGTGAAGTACTGTAACAGTGTCAAATGTCATCATCACCATTTGAACAGCTATTTCCTACTGCCCAGCAGATTCATTGGCACAAAGCAACAGCTGTCTGTTGCAGAGGCGTTTTGATTAGGATGAGAATTGATTTCCTTTAGATTGTGACATTATTTGTATGTGAATGTTTAATGATGGTTTTGGGTCATATGACAGTATTTCAAACTTAAGGAAGTGGATCCTTGTCTAGCTGTTTTAGACCTAAGATATTTCAAGATGTGGGTCAGGCTTTTAGAATTTGGAGTTACTGGCCATCTTCTGCTCTAATCCATATTTACTTTCTGAAGTCTTTCCTCAACATTTCTCATGTGGACTCAAGCTGGGTCTCTCCCTTAGAACTGAACCCATAGGATTTGACATGCGAGGTCTTCAGCATCCTCCAACTCTGCTTTTAGGTTGATCATACTCTATTTTCAATTTCTACAGTTCTCTCATGCCACTCCCACAGCACCATCTCTGAATATGTGAGTTCTAGCCCAGTTCTCTTAAGGCCTAGTTCTTACACCGTTTATTCATTCACACAGCCTGCCGTGTGGCGATGTGAGGATTACAGCAAGGAATAGGCAGTCTCTGCCCTTTAAGGAGTTTACATTTTAGTCTGGAGGGAGACAGACAGTAAACAAGTAGCTGGTATGTGTCTGTTTGGAGTAAGTACAGGGCCAGGCAGGGGATAAAACAGGGGAGGGAGTTGGAGGCAGGGAAAAGGTGTAGAACTAGCTGTTTTTAATAGAATGACCAGGGAATGAGTGACATTTGCCCAAAGACTGGAGGGAGAGCAAGCTGTCTTGCAATGGGAGAAGAACGTGCAGGTGAGAACAGAGGTCCTGTGTAGATATGTGGTGGGCCTGTTCCAGGAACAGAGAGGCTATGGGGCTAGAGCAGAGAGTGGTAGGGAAGGAGGTCAGAGAGGTCGTGGGATGGGAGCAGGGCCTTCCAGACCATTTTCCCAAGGAATGAGATAGGAGCCACTGCAGGGATTGGAGAGGATGAATCTGACTTACATTTAAGAGGATCATTGACTTTGCTGCAGGCAACTCCATTTTCAGCTCCCCCAGGGGAACTAGAAAACTAGCTTCATAAACAATTGTAACTAAACTGTCTATTAGTACCTTACTTTAGTCCCTTTGTGTTTTGGAACTTGTTTTTTAAAATAATTGGTTCTAAAGTTTGGAGCAAGTTGGCCTTGTCTGTTCATTTCTGACTGAGGATACAGGCCCAGGCGAAAGGAAAAAAAAAATGGCTCGATTGATTAAGAGAGATTAAGTGGCTGAGTCAGGTAACTTTGGAAAGAGTCTGGGTCCTTAGGCTTGAAGGATTCCTATTTTCCTCTGTTTTTTGCTGTCCTCCAAGATGATTGCTTCAAATTCTTCTTTCATAGTAATGGCCAGTAATAACTGAATTTTTTAAAATGTGGCAAATAAAAATACCACTTGGCCGGTAAAGGTGCTGGAACTTACTAGAAACCCCCCAAAATAATCTGGAAGGATAGTGCTATTCACTGGCTTGAGTCTAGCCCTTTTATACCTGGAAATTGAGGGAGAGTAGTTGAGAGAGGGGTGCCTTCAAAACAGTCATATGCCAAGAAGAGGTTGACTCCAAAGTTTGTGTGGAACCCATACGGACTGAGTGTCCTGGAGTCAGCAGTCATCACAGGTAGTTGGCAATTACAGTAAACCTGCAGTAATCTGCATTTGGACATAAGGCATCGGCTGAAGTTCTCTGGCCAATTCTGTTTCATGTTAGAGAGTGGCGATCAGCAGCCAGTGTTAAAACCCGCAATTCAGTGATTACTCTAATACATGAAAGCAGAGAAATGAAAGTAGTGGCTTATGTCTACAATCCCAAAACTTTGGGAGGCCGAGGCAGGAGGCTCGCTAGAGGCCAGGTGTTTGAGGCTGCACTGAGCTATGACTGTGCCCTTGCATACCCCAGTCTGGGCAACAGAGTGAGACTTTGTCTCAAAAAAATAAGAATTTGTTTTTTCTTACCCATCCCGCCATAACTGAAAGACTCATTGACAAATTGCTATTTTTCATTGACAGTAATAACACAACCCTATATTTTAATCCAGTTGAGTTTAGGGGCTCATTTGTCTAATAATGAAGGCAATTACTAGATATATGAGACATACATGTTTTTGCTATATTGGATTTGTATGCACTCAGAGCATTTCTTTTCATTCTGCTGCAGATTCCTGCCTCACTCTTCAGGCCTTTTTTCTGCCTATGTGTGTTTTCAGAAGTGGATAGGATAAAACATCAAAGATGAAATTCAAGGCCGGGTGCAGTGGCTCACACCTGTAAATCTAGCACTTAGGGAGGCCAAGGCGGGCAGAACACAAGGTCAGGAATTCAAGACCAGCCTGGCGGGCATGGTGACACAGGCCTGTAGTTCCAGCTCCTCCGTAGGCTGAGGCAAGAGAATTGCTTCAACCTGGAAGGTGGGAGGTTGCAGTGAGCCGAGATCGCACTACTGCACTCCAGCCTGGGCAACAGAGCAAAACTCTGTCTCACAAAAAGAAAAGAAATTCAAACCAGTCAGCTTCACTTGGGCATCTGAATCATCTTATCCCCTCCATCATCGTGACTTGATTTTATTTGTATCAAGGAGATGCATGTCTAATGTTTTTCTTTCTTTTCTTCTGTTTCTAGGAGGGCTGTTGGCCTGCTGCTGTGCTGCTGAACAGTATGCAGTCCTTTAGAGAGCAAAGCAGTTACCACGGAAACCAGCAAAGCTACCCACAGGAGGTACACAGCTCATCCCGGATAGAGGAGTTCAGCCCTCGTCAGGCCCAGATGTTCCAGAATTTTGGAGGTGCAGGTGGCAGTAGTGGTGGCAGTGGCAGTAGCAGTGGCGGTGGACGACGAGGAGCAGCAGCTGCTGCAGCAGCAATGGCTAGCGAGACCTCTGGCCATCAAGGTTACCAGGGTTTCAGGAAAGAGGCTGGAGATTTTTACTACATGGCAGGCAACAAAGACCCTGTGGCTACAGGAACCCCACAGCCTCCTCAGCGAAGGCCTTCTGGGCCTGTGCAGAGCTATGGACCCCCTCAGGGGAGCAGCTTTGGCAATCAGTATGGGAGTGAGGGTCATGTGGGCCAGTTTCAAGCACAGCATTCTGGCCTTGGCAGTGTGTCGCATTATCAGCAGGATTACACAGGGCCTTTCTCTCCAGGGAGTGCTCAGTACCAACAGCAGGCTTCCAGCCAGCAGCAGCAGCAGCAGCAAGTCCAGCAGTTGCGACAACAGCTTTACCAGTCCCATCAGCCCCTGCCGCAGGCCACTGGCCAGCCAGCATCCAGTTCATCCCATCTACAGCCAATGCAGCGGCCCTCAACTCTGCCATCCTCTGCTGCTGGTTACCAGTTAAGAGTGGGTCAGTTTGGCCAACACTACCAGTCTTCTGCTTCCTCCTCCTCCTCCTCCTCCTTCCCTTCACCACAGCGTTTTAGCCAGTCTGGACAGAGCTATGATGGCAGTTACAGTGTGAATGCTGGATCTCAGTATGAAGGGCACAATGTGGGTTCTAATGCACAGGCTTATGGAACACAATCCAATTACAGCTATCAGCCTCAATCTATGAAAAATTTTGAACAGGCAAAGATTCCACAGGGGACCCAACAGGGGCAGCAGCAGCAGCAACCGCAGCAGCAACAACACCCTCCTCAGCATGTGATGCAGTATACCAATGCTGCCACCAAGCTGCCCCTGCAAAGCCAGGTGGGGCAATACAGCCAGCCTGAGGTTCCTGTGAGGTCCCCCATGCAGTTTCACCAGAACTTCAGCCCCATTTCTAACCCTTCCCCAGCTGCCTCTGTGGTTCAGTCTCCAAGCTGTAGTTCTACCCCATCTCCTCTCATGCAGACTGGGGAGAATCTTCAGTGTGGGCAAGGCAGTGTGCCTATGGGTTCCAGAAACAGAATTTTACAGTTAATGCCTCAACTCAGTCCAACCCCATCAATGATGCCCAGTCCTAATTCTCATGCCGCAGGCTTCAAAGGGTTTGGACTAGAAGGGGTACCAGAAAAGCGACTGACAGATCCTGGGTTGAGTAGTTTGAGTGCTCTGAGTACTCAAGTAGCCAATCTTCCTAACACTGTACAGCACATGTTACTTTCTGATGCCCTAACTCCTCAGAAGAAGACCTCTAAGAGGCCCTCATCTTCCAAGAAAGCAGACAGCTGCACAAACTCTGAAGGCTCCTCACAACCTGAAGAACAGCTGAAGTCCCCTATGGCAGAATCGTTAGATGGAGGCTGCTCCAGCAGTTCAGAGGATCAAGGTGAGAGAGTGCGGCAACTAAGTGGCCAGAGCACCAGCTCTGACACCACCTACAAAGGTGGAGCCTCAGAGAAAGCTGGCTCCTCACCGGCACAAGGTGCTCAGAATGAACCCCCCAGACTCAATGCTAGTCCCGCAGCTAGAGAAGAGGCCTCCTCACCAGGTGCTAAGGACATGCCATTGTCATCCGACGGGAACCCAAAAGTCAATGAGAAGACAGTTGGGGTGATTGTATCCCGGGAAGCCATGACAAGTCGGGTAGAAAAGCCTGGTGGACAAGATAAAGGCTCCCAAGAGGATGATTCTGCAGCCACTCAAAGGCCATCTAGCAATGGTGGGGCAAAGGAAACCAGTCATGCATCACTTCCCCAGCCAGAGCCTGCAGGAGGAGGGGGGAGCAAAGGAAACAAGAATGGCGATAACAACTCCAACCATAATGGAGAGGGAAATGGCCAGAGTGGCCACTCTGCAGCAGGCCCTGGTTTTGCAAGCAGAACTGAACCTAGCAAATCTCCCGGAAGTCTGCGCTATAGTTATAAAGATAGTTTCGGGTCAGCTGTGCCACGAAATGTCAGTGGCTTTCCTCAGTTTCCTTCAGGGCAAGAAAAAGGAGATTTCACTGGTCATGGGGAACGAAAGGGTAGAAATGAAAAGTTTCCAAGCCTCCTGCAGGAAGTACTTCAGGGTTACCACCACCACCCCGACAGGAGATATTCTAGGAGTACTCAGGAGCATCAGGGGATGGCTGGTAGCCTAGAAGGATCTGCAAGGCCCAATGTCTTGGTTAGTCAAACCAATGAATTAGCTAGCAGGAGCCTTCTGAACAAAAGCATTGGGTCTCTATTAGAAAATCCCCACTGGGGCCCCTGGGAAAGGAAATCAAGCAGCACAGCTCCTGAAATGAAACAGATCAATTTGACTGACTATCCAATTCCCAGAAAGTTTGAAATAGAGCCTCAATCATCAGCCCATGAACCTGGGGGTTCCCTCTCTGAAAGAAGATCAGTGATCTGTGATATTTCTCCACTAAGACAGATTGTCAGGGACCCAGGGGCTCACTCACTGGGACATATGAGTGCCGACACCAGGATTGGGAGGAATGACCGTCTCAATCCAAGTTTAAGTCAGTCGGTCATTCTTCCAGGTGGTTTGGTGTCCATGGAAACAAAGCTGAAATCCCAGAGTGGGCAGATAAAAGAGGAGGACTTTGAACAGTCTAAATCCCAAGCTAGTTTCAACAAGAAATCTGGAGACCACTGCCATCCTTCTAGCATTAAGCATGAGTCTTACCGTGGCAATGCCAACCCTGGAGCAGCAACCCATGATGCCCTTTCAGACTACGGCCCACAAGACAGCAGACCCACGCCAATGCGGCGGGTTCCTGGCAGAGTTGGTGGTCGAGAGGGCATGAGGGGTCGGTCTCCTTCTCAATATCATGACTTTGCAGAAAAATTGAAGATGTCTCCTGGGCGGAGCAGAGGCCCAGGGGGAGACCCTCATCACATGAATCCACACATGACCTTTTCAGAGAGGGCCAACCGGAGTTCTTTACATGCTCCCTTTTCTCCCAACTCAGAAAGCCTGGCCTCCGCTTATCATGCAAATACTCGGGCTCATGCTTATGGGGACCCAAACGCAGGTTTGAATTCTCAGCTGCATTATAAGAGACAGATGTACCAACAGCAACCAGAGGAGTATAAAGACTGGAGCAGCAGTTCTGCTCAGGGAGTAATTGCTGCAGCACAGCACAGGCAGGAGGGGCCACGAAAGAGTCCAAGGCAGCAGCAGTTTCTTGACAGAGTACGGAGCCCTCTGAAAAATGACAAAGATGGTATGATGTATGGGCCACCGGTAGGGACTTATCATGATCCCAGTGCTCAGGAGACTGGGCGCTGCCTATTGTCTAATGATGGTCTGCCTAACAAGGGCATGGAATTAAAGCATGGCTCCCAGAAATTACAAGAATCTTGTTGGGATCTTTCTCGGCAAACTTCTCCAGCCAAAAGCGGTGGTCCTCCAGGAATGTCCAGTCAAAAAAGGTATGGGCCACCCCATGAGACTGATGGACATGGACTAGCTGAGGCTACACAGTCATCCAAATCTAGTAATGTTATGCTGAGACTTCCAGGCCAGGAAGACCATTCTTCTCAAAACCCCTTAATTATGAGGAGGCGTGTCCGTTCTTTTATCTCTCCCATTCCCAGTAAGAGACAGTCACAAGATGTAAAGAACAGTAACACTGAAGATAAAAGTCGCCTCCTTCACCCATCAAAGGAAGGCGCTGATAAAGCATTCAATTCCTATGCCCATCTTTCTCACAGTCAGGATATCAAGTCCATCTCTAAGAGAGACTCCTCCAAGGACCTTCCAAATCCAGATAATAGAAACTGTCCTCCTGTTACTCTCACAAGCCCTGCTAAGACCAAAATACTGCCCCCACGGAAAGGACGGGGATTGAAATTGGAAGCTATAGTTCAGAAGATTACATCCCCAAATATCAGGAGGAGCGCATCCTCGAACAGCGCAGAGGCTGGGGGAGACACGGTTACTCTTGATGATATACTCTCTTTGAAGAGTGGTCCTCCTGAAGGTGGGAGTGTTGCTGTTCAGGATGCTGACATAGAGAAGAGAAAAGGTGACGTGGCCTCTGACCTAGTCAGTCCAGCAAACCAGGAGTTGCACATTGAGAAACCTCTTCCAAGGTCTTCAGAAGAGTGGCGTGGCAGCGGGGATGACAAAGTGAAGACAGAAACACATGCAGAATCAGTTACTGCCGGAAAGGAACCCCCTGGTGCCATGACATCCACAGCCTCACAGAAGCCTGGTAGTAACCAAGGGAGACCAGATGGTTCCCTGGGTGGAACAGCACCTTTAATCTTTCCAGACTCAAAGAATGTACCTCCAGTGGGCATATTGGCCCCTGAGGCAAACCCCAAGGCTGAAGAGAAAGAGAATGATACAGTGACGATTTCACCCAAGCAAGAGGGCTTCCCTCCAAAGGGGTATTTCCCATCAGGAAAGAAGAAGGGGAGACCCATTGGTAGTGTGAATAAGCAAAAGAAACAGCAGCAGCCACCGCCTCCACCCCCTCAGCCCCCACAGTTACCAGAAGGTTCTGCAGATGGAGAGCCAAAGCCAAAAAAACAGAGGCAAAGGAGGGAGAGAAGGAAGCCTGGGGCCCAACCAAGGAAGCGAAAAACCAAACAAGCAGTTCCCATTGTGGAACCCCAAGAACCTGAGATCAAACTAAAGTATGCCACCCAGCCACTGGATAAAACTGATGCCAAGAACAAGTCTTTTTACCCTTACATCCATGTAGTAAATAAGTGTGAACTTGGAGCCGTTTGTACAATCATCAATGCTGAGGAAGAAGAACAGACCAAATTGGTGAAGGGTAGGAAGGGTCAGAGGTCACTGACCCCTCCACCTAGCAGCACTGAAAGCAAGGCGCTCCCGGCCTCGTCCTTTATGCTGCAGGGACCTGTTGTGACAGAGTCTTCAGTTATGGGGCACCTGGTTTGCTGTCTGTGTGGCAAGTGGGCCAGTTACCGGAACATGGGTGACCTCTTTGGACCTTTTTATCCCCAAGATTATGCAGCCACTCTCCCGAAGAATCCGCCTCCCAAGAGGGCCACAGAAATGCAGAGCAAAGTTAAGGTACGGCACAAAAGTGCTTCTAATGGCTCCAAGACGGACACTGAGGAGGAGGAAGAGCAGCAGCAGCAGCAGCAGAAGGAGCAGAGGAGCCTGGCTGCACACCCCAGGTTTAAGCGGCGCCACCGCTCCGAAGACTGTGGTGGAGGCCCTCGGTCCCTGTCCAGGGGACTCCCTTGTAAAAAAGCAGCCACTGAGGGCAGCAGTGAAAAGACTGTTTTGGACTCGAAGCCCTCTGTGCCCACCACTTCAGAAGGTGGCCCTGAGCTGGAGTTACAAATTCCTGAACTACCTCTTGACAGCAATGAATTTTGGGTCCATGAGGGTTGTATTCTCTGGGCCAATGGAATCTACCTGGTTTGCGGCAGGCTCTATGGCCTGCAGGAAGCGCTGGAAATAGCCAGAGAGATGGTGAGTATAAGAAATCTCTTACCAGCTTGGGATTTTTATTTCATTTGATTCCTTCTCTCCCATGTTTTTGTTATATATTACGTGATTATTCCTCCAAATTAAACCACCTATCCCTAAATGATGGACAGAAAATGAAATAGGTAATTTGGAAGATTTGTGTTGACTTCTAAAATCATTTTTCATTTTTTCAAATCTATAATACTTAGGAAGCATACTATATTTCTTTCTGAAACATTTCATTTCTTTAGGATTACTAATTCATGTGTTCATTTGCTCACATCTTTTCTAACCCACATTTTGAATTGGGATATTTATTCTTTAGGTCTATAACTGTTATTCTGGGGCAGTTGATCATCATCATCTTCATTTCTTTCTCTCCTCTGTTGAATGATCTGTTTTCTAAATCCCTTGCCTTCCTCATTCTTAAAGTGGACCTTCATTTAAGGGCGTGCATCATCCTTTAATAGTTCTGTGAGAAAGGGTGCATTGGAATGTAAAAATGTTGAGATCCTGTATATCTGAGCATGACTTTATTCTAGCCTCATGCTTAATTGAGAGTTGGCTAGGTGTGGAATCCTAGATTGAAAGTGAGTTTTTCTCACTCTCTTGAAGTCATTGTTCCTGGTTTGTCCTTTAGCTCGCAGTGCTGCAGTTGAGAAGACTGGAGCCATTCTGATTTTTCATCCCTCAATGTGTGTTCTGTTTATCTCTTGGAAAGTTGGAGGATCTTCTCTTTTTCCCTAGGGTCTTGAGATGTCAAAATGATACGTCTTGACTAGGTCTCTTCATTTATTATGTTGGCTACTCTGAGAGCTTATGTATGCCGACATTTCCAGTTCAGGAAATTTGTCAAGTGGTAGTTCTCTGAAAATTTCCTTCCCTCCATTTTCTCTGCTCTCTCTTTTTATAATTCCTATTAACATAAGGCATTTTACATCCTTGATTCAGCCTCTGTTTTTATCTTTTTTCTTCTGTGTTCTATCTCATTATCTTTTTGTTCTGAATTATCTATGCTTTCTTCACCTTTAACAGCTGATCTTTTTTTGTTTGTTAGTGGTTTTGTTTTTGTCACTTAAGCTGGAATGCAGTGGTATGATCACAGCTCACTGCAGCCTCGAACTCTGGGGCTCTCTAGTAGCTGGGACTAAAGGCATGTGCCACCATGCCCAGCTACTTTTTGTATTTTTTGTAGAGACAGGGTCTCACTATGTTGCCCATACTGGTCTCAAACTGCTAGACTCAAGTAGTCTTCCCACTTTGGCCTTCCAAAGTGCCAGGATTAGAGGCATGAGTCACAAGCCATACTGCCCAGCCTTCTAACCTTTTATTTACTTATTTTTTTCCTGATATTTTGAAGAGCTTTTTTTTTTTTTCTTTGAATGTACTGATTTTTAAAGAATCGTCAGAGCCAGCTGGACATGGTGGCTCATACCTGTAATCCCAGCACTTTGGAGGCCAAGACAGGCGGATCGTGAGGTCAAGAGATCGAGACCATCCTGGCCAAACATGGTGAAACCCCGTGTCTGCTAAAAAAAAAAAATAGAAAAATTAGCTGAGCATGGTGGCACATACCTGTAGTCCCAACTACTCGGGAGCCTGAGGTAGGAGAATCACTTGAACTGGGAGGTAGAGGTTACAGTGAGCTGAGATCGAGCCACTGCACTGCAACTGGGCAGCAGAGCAAGACTGTCTCAAAAATAAATAAAAATAAAAGAATAATCAGACCCTAGTTTATGGCTGTAATTGTTTCTCTCACTTCTTGTGAATACATTGTAATGTGGTTTTGGTTTTTGTTTTTGTTTTCAGACAGTTTCACGCTCTTACCCAGGCTGGAGTGCAGTGATGTGATCATGGCTCACTGCAGCCTCCAACCACTGGGCTCCTGGGACCCTCCCAAGTAGCTGGACCGCAGTTGCATGTCAGTATGCCTGGCTGATTTTTTTTTTTTTTTTTTTGCTTTTTGTAGAGACATGTGCATGTCACTTTGTTGCCCAGGCAGGTTGGTCTCAATCTCCTAAGCTTAAGCAATCCTCCCATGTCAGCCTTCCAAAGTACTGGATTTATAGGTGTGAGCCACCACACTTAGCTTTTTTGTAATTTTGAAAAATCTTTGTTTCCTATTTTCTCTTTCTTGTTAGAGTATCTTCAGATGTCTTGATTTATATTTTTAAGAGATAAAGATGTTTTTAAAAATGGTTTGAAGCTCTGTGTTAAGAGTATGGGCCAGGCTTGTTTGCCTATGGTCCTCTCCATAGAACAATAAGCCAGCCTGCCAGCATATAGGTCTTTTCTCTGAGTTGAGTTTTCCCAGAGGAAAACAAAAAATTTTTGTTTTGTTCCAGAGAAGAATCTTGAGATTTCCTGTCTAGAGGTGCAAGGTTGGCTGCCAGCATCCTAAAGCCAAGTGGAGAAGGGAATGGTAGGGTTGTGGGGATGGGAATATGGGCTCATCATTCAGTGTGTGGACTTGGACAGTTTCCCACCTGTTTTCGGTAGATGAGGACAGTTACCTGGTTGGATTGAGTTAAGGATCTAACTCTTCTTAGAAACTCTGGCCTAATGCTCTGTTTTTCAGCCCTATATTGCACCCCCACTTCTTGAGGCATCTGTGCCTGCCCAAGCTCTGTGCCATGAAGTGGCGCTGGCTAGTGGCTCCTCCACTGCACTCATCATACTGTCTGCTTCCTTTCAGTGCACAGAATCGGTTACTCTTCATCTTTCCTATTTCCAATGTCCCATTCCTGGTGCTGTTATGAGTTTATCTTGCAAGTTTATCCACTTTTTTGTGGGAAGGGATCAGATGTACAACTGTATATTTAGTAGTCTACCATATTATTTATAACCGTCTGGCAAAAAGGAAGTGCCCGTAGACTATAGTTAAAAAAAAAAAAATCAAATGTGAAATATATATAGAAATTAGAACATTTTAATTCACTCACGCAAGGAGCTTGCCCCATGCCCTCAACCCCCAAAATTATGGTCTTTTCTTTTTCCCTCCTTCTCTCTCTCCATTATTAACATCACTGTTTAACTCCAAGTTTGAGGTAGAAGATTTACTTCTAAGAAGTTTATATGCAGTGACATTTTAAAATGCCAAAATCCTAGAAGGATGTAACATTTAAGACCCTAAAGTACAAAATTCTGTAGTCATATCTGAGCACTCAAAACAATACATTAATTGTCTTACTTGCTTCCCAACTTTCCTCGGAAAGTCACAGTATTTGGTGGGGTGTTTTTTGTTATTTTTTTGAGACAAAATCTAGCTTTGTTGTGGGGTTTCACCATGTTGGCCAGGCTGGTCTGGAGCTCCTGACCTCAGATCATCCATCAGCCTTTACCTCCCAAAGTGTTGGGATTATAGGTGTGAGTCACTGCGCCCAGCCTATTTATCACGTTTTGATGTGCATACGTGTATGCAACCCTCTGACAAGTGTTTTTTTTTTTTTAATTTCAACATTTATTAACATATTCAGCACAATTTTTATGTGTAAACTTTTAGGCATTCTGTAGCAATAATTGGTAATCAGTAAACAGGCTAAATCTTCCCCAGCAAATCTCTAGATCCTGCATCTCAATCCAGGTCGTCTTTATACAAAATAAAAGACTCCCTATAATGATGCAGCCACCATAGATCACAGTTAATTGAAAGGTTGGTAAAACAGTGGGATGCCTTTTAAGCTACCTAATCAGAAATACCTGTCTTCAGAAAGTGACTGTTCAGGCTGCCGTGGTGGCTCACACCTGTAATCCCAGCACTTTGGGAGGCTAAGACAAGTTGATTGCCTGAGGTGGGTCACATAAGATCAGGAGTTTGAGACCAGCCTGGCCAACATGGTGAAACCCCGTCTCTACTAAAAGAATACTTAGCCGGGCATGGTGGTGGTCGCCTGTAAGCCCAGCTACTCAGGAGGCTGAGACAGGAGAATGGCTTGAGCCAGAGGTTGCAGTGAGCCAAAATTGCACCACTGCACTCCATCTTAGGCAACTGAGTGTGGGACTCTGTCTTAAAATAACAAACAAATTAGGCTTGTCTCTTTGAGCTGATGTACCACTGTGACTACGAGATCTGTTTCTAGTTTTTATTTACCTAGCTTCTATTCTGCTTTTCTCAATGCACTCAAGGACAAATTAAAATTACACTAACTTGCCTTTTATTTAATTTGACAGATGATGTTTCAGTTGTCCAGGATACTTTCAGTCTAGTTTTATCTTAGTAGGTTTTAGCAGATATATTCAATTTTGGTCTTTCTTAATGAGCATGCCCTCAATCCTATCATGTGAGATAAAGCCACATATATTTCATTAGAGATCCATTTTGGCCTATGTATTTATCAGGTGTTTTGACAGGCATGATGTTATAATACAATAATAGAAAGTCCTCAGGAGGCATTGCTCCTCTCCCTGTGTCACACTGCTCTGAAAATTGCAGAAAATTAGAACATTCTATATTTAAAAATGGCCTTCACTTCCCTTCCTTTTTCCCTTCCCACAAGTGTGGCACTTGTGAATCATTCATTTCAGTGCAGTCCCCTTAGCTTCTGTCCAACATTGACCCCTGTTTGTTTGCCTTGGTATAATTGTGTATGTGAATCACAATGACCCCTGACATGAATGATATTACAGAGAAAATTGCCTCTAAATGGGTATGGGTATGGGTATAACTTGGTATTTACAAATCACCTTTGAGACACTGAAGAATGCGAAGGCCTGCAGGGATGTGGCAGAAGGTGGGGATCTGGTGGCCATGGATCCCTTGAGGCTGCACACCCTACTACTAGGGGAGTCTTTGCTTGTTCCCCTCTCATAGAAGGTGCCCCTCTCAAATATATCTTTCCAAGCCCCTTGGAAAATTCTTAATCTTTTTTGTTTTATCTGACAGTGTATGTTAAAGAACTGGTTTTAGGTTAATTTTTCTTTTTTCTTTTTGTTTTTATTTAGTGACAGGTCTTGCTCTCTTGCCAAGACTAGAGTACAGTGACACAATCTCAGCTCACTATAGC